TATATATATATATATATATATATATGCTCCCGATACGTCCAAGCATATTCAGGTGTGTCTTTGACCCAGTAACAGGCAGCAAAGGCCGGTGTGGTCCACAGTTCACTGTAAGGTTGCCGCTGCACAGCAGGTCCTGCGCATTCTGTAATCTCAACAGCCGCTTTAAGAACAACTCTTGCATTGTTAGGTAAATGAGCACTGCACTATTCTGAAGCTTCCTGCGAAATGCAGCTCCTGCTGCAACGTGTTCGGGAACAGATTTGGGACCGCAGGTTTTTGATGTCGATTGTGAGAAGTTGGTGTCCCATGTTTGAATGGTGCTGCCCAGCCCTGTCGTCCAAAACCACCATCAACGTCGGAAATACAGTGGCACATCCTTGGAGTGAACAAGCGTCCGGAGAAACCAAATATCCTCTCTTCAGGAAAATGGACTTCTAGCAATAAGGAACCCCACCTCTGTTTCCGGTCGCAGCCCACACATGGAGGCTTCATTCTTAGGCATAAACAATATCCTTGTGCTAATGCCACACGGAGCTGCCCTGGGCGTGCAGGTTGTGTAACCGTCTGTGGTTCACTGGAAGCCCGAATCAACAGCTTCGGCTGCACGGCTGGGCTTGATTACACCGCTGCGTTGTCACAAGCTGGAAGTGGAGCGGCTTGCTCGAAATACTTTTACCAGTGCGTTTACGCTTAAGGCTACCACTTGCAAGCGAGCCTGTGGAGCTCCAGAATTCAATGGTGCCTTACGGGCCAAGAGGCCGAACTCCGGCAACATATTATGCGCCCCCGCTGCTCTGTGGAAAGACAGAGGTTTCTCCAACTTCACGTTGTTGAGAAACATGCTACAGCCAGCATCATCTGATCATTCCAGTGTTCCTATACAACACAGCCTCTGCAATCCTTCCAATTGTTTTCCGCCATGGGTGCATCCAGCATGGCTATCGCCCCGAGGTGGACACACACTGTTGACAGGGCACGTGGTGCTGCAACGCAACCCCCTTGCAAACAGAACAGTTCTAGTGAGCGCGTTACCATCGTAACGAACTTCCGAATTCTTCCTTGGCTCTCAGTAGCCAGCCCGCATTGATACCTGCTTTGGGTCGCATGCAGCCAGAAGCACTACTGTCAAATTGTGTCAGGTCATGCTACAATACTGGCCGTCTTTCGCCCTCAGTGCCGGCTGCCTGCCCGCACCCCCGGGAAGAGCAGTTACAGGTCACGTCCCCTTCCAGGAAATTTAATCAGGGGCAGAAATCCTTAACATCTAAATGCTCCTGGTAACACTAGCCTGCAAGCGCCCTCGAAGCCTGGAACAGTTGTTGGCTCCTTGACCCCTAGCAAACTCGTCTGTCTCGCTTAAGCAAATGCTAGGGAGTGGCCGCAGAAAAAAGAACTACCGATAAAATGCCCCCCAGTGTGCTCCACACCACCTCCCAGAGGAAAGGATAGTCCTGAATATGGATATGACGCACCCTGTACCGCTACGTGAGCACCCTGTCAGTCTAACCATCTGTTCAAAAAATCGGTTGTCAATGCTCCCCTTTTGAGCAAAGTAACCATTGTGGGCAGTGCAATGATGTATAAGCTGCCGTGCCTCAACTTGGCGGTACCGTTAGCTGTGGTTTTCTCATCATGAGCCGCTTCATCGCCCTGCGACCTGGCACAAATTGGATTGATACGGAATAACCTCTCGACGGTTCGCATTCGGCATACACGAATCGTTTTGCGTGTATACCCAGAAAGCGGGAAGTGGCAAGGCAGGCGCATATTCCTTTTGTGACACAAACGTTAAGAAATCAACAACTGCCGCATTGTGCGTGCCTGAAGCCCTGCAAAAAGTATACAACGTGTTGGTCAATCGCCAGGCATGAAGACGCCTGGAAGACAGAGGCTCACTTTGAAGTAGCACCTGGGTCTAGCAATATTAAAAGTACCTGCGGATAAGCCGGGTAAGCAAATAGCATATACAACGCGCACACACTGGCTATCTTTGGTAGCCTGTTTGCATGCAAACGAATCACCTCTTGATTGGGCAAGACCTACGGTGAGGGCATCAGGGTGGTTTGGCCTGTCGTTGGCCATGGCCAGTGGCTTGAAATTCCGACGCACTCCCAGAATCATTGGTGCAACGACAAAATTCAGCATCGTCCTGTAACCAGAGCTTCCATAGCCGGTGCGACAATACGCTGCCTTTGTACCCACGGGTCAAAATTGTCCTCTTTAACTCAATTACCTCTCTTGGCGGGGGGCGCTCCCCTTTCTTATATATTCTCAGTATATTCTCAGTGCCCTGCTTAGTCGATTTACTATCTTGTTGAGAAACTCCGTTTTTTCCATTATCCCCTTTTCACGAAGTGAATACTCCGTCCGGAATTTCTTTACAAACTGAGGCCACCACTTGTCGGTATTCATTTTGTCCCCCAGAAGCTGAATTGTGCATACCAGGAAATCAAACACCATAAGCACAGACGATAGTTTCCTTACGAGGTAGTTAGCTGTACGTCGAGTATATGGCTTTCCAAGTTTGACTGTTGCGTAGCTTGCCAGAACTTCGGCTTCGGTCATGAGCAAATCCACGTCAGCAGCCGTCAGCGAGTCCTTGGCAAACAATTCCTGCTTAGTCGATTTACTATCTTGTTGAGAAACTCCGTTTTTTCCATTATCCCCTTTTCACGAAGTGAATACTCTGTGCGGAACTTCTGCACAAACTGAGGCCACCACTTGGCAGTATTCATCTTGTCCCCTAGAAGCTGAATTGTGCATACAAGGTAGTCAAATGCCAAAACCATAGCCGATAGCTTCACAACAAGGTAGTGTGCTGTGCGCCTCTTTGGTGTCGCTGACAGTTTGCTTGTTGCGTAGTTCGCCAGTATTTCCGCTTCGGTCATGAGTATCTCCACATCGATAGCCGTCAGCAACTCCTTGGCAAACAAACTCCGCATTGTCGTGTACGACTCCATAATAGGAATAGACTTCCCCAAGCGGGGTAATAGTGCAAACTTCTCCCGGAAGCTTCTGCGGATATGTTTTGGATTTACCACAGGTAACCGCACAAAAGGATGCAGACGAATGTCCCCAGACATACAGAGTTCAGGGGGGACTAGCACTCCATTCTGATCTGGCACTGACATCTCAGTGCCATCCGAGGTCGCATCAGAGGCCTCTTGCAGGCGCCCATGCTGTTCTATTGCATTCACCTTGGTGGATACTTTGGCGCGCTTCCGGCGAGCCTTGGTACGTGGGGTTTTAACTATTCCACCTCCATGCTCATCAGAAGCCCGCATAGAACCTGCAGTTGTGGGGGCGGCCAAAGTTGTCTCCACCGCTGGGCTTGGCCATACCGTGCCGGCTGCCCGTCGTCTGCTGCTGTGGGCAGCCTTGCTCCCCACAAAGTCGTGGAGCCAGGAGTCAGGAACCAAAGCGTCAGCGCTGCGTTCATTGCCAACAGACACGGAAGCCGAATGACTAGCGCTAGCCTTTGCTTCATAGGTAGATGGCCAACTTACGGGAAATGGTGGTGCGCCCTGTTTGAACCATGACACTCCAGTCGGCTTCGGTATCACAACGACGACGAACGGAAGCAGTTTGG